TATATACGTCTTCTTGGAAAAAATGTCTGTTTGGGTCTCTAGCCCATTTTTTGAATTGTGCATTAATTTCCTTACTATTATGTTATTTGAGTTCCTTATGTATTTTGGGTATTAATCCTTTATCATATGTATGATTTACCTGTATTTTCTCTTGGTTGATTCTTCACTCCGCTGACTCTCTTCTGCATGGAAACTTCTTAGTATGGAGCAATCTCGTCTGTCCATTTTTGCTTTTGTTGCCTCTGCTTTTGGAGTCATAGCCCCAAATTATTGTCAATATCAATATCAGTAAGATTTCCTTTTTTCTACTAACAGTGTTACAATTTCAAGTGTTTATTCATTGAATTTATCAGGGTAACATTAGTTAATAAAATTCTATAGGCTTCAATTGTATGATTCTATAACACATCATCTGTCCATTGTATTGTATGTTCACCACCCAAAGTGAAGTCTTAAATTTACATCTTTAATTCACTTGGAGGTAATTTTAAATTTATAGTGTGAGGTGAAAGTTCAATTTCACTTTTCTGCATGTGGAAATCCCGTTCTACAAACACCATTTCTTAAAGAGACTATCCTTTCCTTGTCATATGACCTTGGCACCTTTATCAAAGATCAATTGATCATAGACACATAAATTAATTTCTGGTCCTTCTAGTCAGTTACATTGGTCTATAAGGTCAGTTTCCCTGTCAGTACAATGCTCTTTTAATTGCTGCAGTTTTGTAGTGTATTTTAAATTCAGAAAGTGTGATGCTTCCAGCTTTGTTCTTTTTTAAAATTGCTTTGGCAATTTGGGATCCTTTCTGCTTCCAAACTAAGCCATTCCTGTGAAAAATGATATTGGAATTTTAATATAGATTGTGATGAATCTGCAGATTGCTTTGGGTGGTATGGACATTATAACAATATCAGTTCTTTCATTCCATGAGCACAGAGTATCTTTCCATAATTGCGACTTTTCCAGTTTCTTTCATCATTGTCTTGTAATTTTTAGTGTACATATCTTTCACCTTGATTAATTTATACCTAGTATTTTAGTATTTTTAATACTATTGTAAATGAAATTGTTGTAGTCCATATTAATATTCCATATTAATATCTTTCTGATACTTTATTGTTAGTGTATAGAAATAAAATTGATTTTTTATGTTTACTTTTGTATCCTGTAACTTTACTAAATTTATTAGTTCTAACAGTTTTTGTGGGGGATTTTGGTTTGTTTTGTTGGAGCTGTTAGGGTTTTCTATATATAAGAAAACGTTATCTGCAAATACAGACAATTTTCCTTCTTCCTTTTCAATTTGGATGCCTTGTATTTTTTCTTATTTGATTGCTCTTATTGAAAAGAAGTGGCAAGAGTGGGCACACTTGTCCTGTTTTTGGTCTTAGAGGAAAAGCTTTCCGCTTTTCATCTTTGGGTATGAAGTTAGCTGTGGGCTTGTATATACAGACTATATTGAGAGACATTTCTTATGAATTTCTGAGAACTGTTATCATGAAAGGGTATTGAATTTTGTTAAAACTTTCTCTGCATCTATTGAGATGATTAGGAGGGGCTGGCCTAAATCCTGGGACTGCAGGTACCAGCCTGACATTTGAGGCAGGGCTGGAAGCTGGGTTCACAGAGGCAGGCATGGAGCATGGGCCAATGGGGGCTGGCCGGGAACCTGGGGCCTTTGGAACTGGCCTGGCACTGTAGCAGCTGAGAGGCTTGGGGGTAGAGAAAGGGTCTGAGCCTGGAGACTGAGGCCACAGGTGCCAGCCTGGTGCCAAGGTTCCCTGGGGTGGGCCTAGTGCAGGGGTCCACAGTGAAGCCAGGTGGTCACTCAACTCTTCTTCCTCCATGAGGTAGTTGTCTTTCTATGCACTGCACTGCTAGGATTGGAGGAAGGATAACACAGGTAATGTGGAACTATTGTTCTTACCCTGTTCAAGGCATCTTTTCTTATTTCTGTGCTGAGTTTTAATGGAAATCCTGAAGTATTCACCAATCTGTAACCACTCACCTGGAATCTTAGCTCTTATGATGGTATTTTCATTTAAGGATAGTTGTTCAAACTGCTATTTCTGTGAGCGAGCGAGCTCTGGAAACTCCTATCCCACCACATTGCTGATGTCCCTGTGGAGATGTCCTTTTGTTGCGAGCTTGTGCTCACTTATTCACGATGGAATGCCCTTTTTCTATAATGATGGATATGATTTGCTAAATTTTTAAAGATTATTGAATGTATGTCCATGAGTAATATTGGTCTATAATTTTCTTTTATAGTAATAGTCTAGTCTTGTCAAGTTTTGTTGGTATCAGGGTATGTTGACTTCATAAAAAAGGTTCACAGGTATTCTCCTGGATACAGAAATTTATTTTCTGTTTTCCATGTTCATGCAAGTGTTTCTATAAGATTAATATTGTTTATTCTTTAAATTGTCAAAATTCACCAGCAAAGTTGCCCAGGTCACAGTAATAGCCCCTCTTCATTTCCTAAAATGTTGAATTTGTGCTTTCACTTTTTTTCCCTAATAAGTGAGCTGAAGTTTTAACAATTTTATTAATCTTTTCAAATAGACAACTTCTGGCTTTGTTCATTTTTCTCTTTTTTTTGGGGGGGGTTATTTTCTTACTTATTTCAGATCTTTATAACTTCCTTCTAAGTACTTTTAAGTTAATGTTATTTTTCTAGCTTCTTGAGTTATGATCTTATGCAACTTGAAAACTTCCTTGTTTCTTAATATAATCATTTAAAAACTCTAATGTGTAAATATCACTTTAGCTGGACCTCATCAATTTGACACTGTATTTTTATAATCATTCAGTTGTTTTCCTTGTGATTTCTTTTTTGATGTATTTTTATTTAGATGTGTATTGCTTAATTTACAAATATTTTCAAATTTTCTAGTTATTATCTTGATATTAGCTTAAAATTTCATTCTGTTGTGGTCAGATAAAAAGATCTTTGTATGTTTTCAGTGTTTTGAAATTCATTGAGACTTCTTTTAAGAACCAGCATATCTCCACCTTGGTGAATGTTCCAGACTCACATGAAAAAAACTGTATTCTACAATTGGAGAATAATGTTTTATAAGTGTCAATGGATCAGTTTGCTTGATAGTGTTTTTTAATTTTCTAAATCTATGCTGAATCTGTGTTTACTTATTCTCCCAATTAGTAAAGGTGGATGTTAAAAATCTCTAGAACTAATTATAAATTTGTCTATTTTTCCTTTAGTTGTGTTATTTTTTGCTTCATGGATTTGAAGCTATGCTATTACCTACATACACATTTAGCTTTTATTAAATGTTCATAAAGATTTGACCTTTTAAAAATCATTTATTTCTGATAATACTTCAACTTCTGGTTGAAGTGGGTGTGCCTGTTATTAGTATAGCCATTTCAGCTCTGAAGCAGGACCAGGTACATGTGTCTAAAACCTTGATAGTATAAGCCACATTAAAAAAAATTAAACATGGATCAGATCGAAATGTTGGGCTCATTCAAGTGGGGATGGGCAGAAGTTAAAAAGCACCCACGCTGAGTTTTGCACATACCTGTCTAAACAGAACCAAAAGCAGCACCCACTGTGGTCCAAACTAGAGGAGAAGGGCCAGCAGCTAGAGGTTTCATAAGTGACAACATACCAGCCCAGGGAAGAGAGTAAGTGGGCAACAAGACTTCAGTGACCAGATCACTCAGATCAAAATCTGGATTTACCCCAAGACTATGGATTGGCAAAGAGTATAGCTCTTAGCTAGGAGGTCTGCAGTTGTATTATGATTCTAAAAGCCAACAGGAAAGAGAAATGTAGGTAAAAAAAATTAGGCTGAAACTAGGTGTTACAATGGCTGGTGATGTGGACCAATTTTATGCTGTGCTTAGCCATGGCAGAAATAAAAAAATGTAATAGGTTTATTGAGGAGTTTCAACTCACTGAAATATAAAATGAATGGTTCTTTCCTCCCATTTGTGAATTTCAGCCCTCTTTCAGAGCCTGAAAAAACATTTCAGACAAGCTAAAATACTTCTGGTTATTTTCACCTCTAAGATACCTACCCTCCAGCTCCTCTCTAAACTAGCTCAGACTACACACCAGAGGAAAAAATCTCAGCAGACTCCATTCATCAAACTAGACATAGGTCCTCCTTTGCAAGCACCCAAGACCTCAACAGGCCCTTTTGTAGCACCCTGTTATTTGGCTTGGCTAGCACAGGTCTTCTTCCCATTCTTTCACAGGGATAGTAGTAAAACACCTCTCACCATTTGTTGAGCACTCTGCCTGATTTAAGAGTCTTCTTTGATTCCATCTTCCCTTTTCTTGATGCTTTCTTTATATGTAGAGAGAAGGTCAAGGAGCTTCTTAACTCCTTGATGCTTAATAACTGGTAGCTTAAAAAATGTAAGAGGTGGTAGTTACTGTCTTTTACCTTCAATTTGGGGTCTTTACTTTAGTTCCTAAATTCTGAGTCAACAGAAAAAGTCAAGTTCAACATCTTTTATAAAGGCAACCACTGCATGAACTTACTACTATGCTGGGCTTTGTGCAACTTAACCTTTATAATAATGCTGGGGTCAGTGTTTAATTACTCCCATTATTTGCCTTTTTGCAAATAAAGAAGCAAAACATTATAAAAGATGAATAATTTCCCCAATATTAATATAAGTAAATTGTAATACAACAGAATATATACGCCTGCCTCTCTGTTTCTAAAGCTTATTGTGATATTTTTCACTGTGTTGCCACACAGTATATCAGTAACACTCATTTCAGATATCAGCAGGGTAGGAACATAAAGGAATTCATTGTCTTTGTGAGATATGAATCAGAACCTATTAGAATCTGACTTTATAGCAGACGACTCTTCTCAGTAACTGAAGCTAAGCTGAGCAAGTGAAGACAAAAATAGAAACTTCTCTGTATAACTTTACTTTTGCTTTCTACAAGAAGTTCCTCAATGATTGACCAATGATGCCATTTCTGTTCTTAACACACTAAAAACCCACATTTTCACTTGGTCTTATGGTTAACACCTTTACAACTTAGCAAGTATTTCACAGCAGCTTTCACATCTTTATTTCTCAAGCTATAGATTATAGGATTTAGCATGGGGGTCACTACCCCATAGAATATGGAAAGAAGCCCCTCCACAGCTTGCATATTGTCTTTTCCAAGGATGTTTTGGGACTTGGGCTTGGCATACATAAAGAAGATGGTGCCGTAAAATATGATCACCACAGTCAGATGTGCTGAGCAGGTGGAAAAGGCCTTGCGTCTCCCGGTGGCTGAGTTCATTCTCAAGATGGTGTAGAGGATGAACACGTAGGAGAAAAAAATGACCACTAATGGAAGAACCAGGAATGCCATATTTGACACCGCTAGGGTAACAATATTGAGGGATATATCAGCACAAGCTAGCTTCAGAACAGCTAATATTTCACATAAGAAGTGATTAATAATATTATTCCCACAGAAAGGCAATTGCATGGCAAGAGATGTTTGCACAACCGAGTTGATTCCGCCAGAGAGCCATGACACAGAAGCCATCAGTACATATGCCACCTTGCTCATGATAATGGGGTATCTCAGAGGGTTACAGATGGCCACATAGCGGTCAAATGCCATCATGCCGAGGAGCAAACACTCTGTTGACCCCATTGCAAACCCGAAAAACATCTGTACTGTGCATCCAGAGAAGGAAATGTTCCTTTTCTTTGAGATTAAGCTCACCAAAGTTGAGGGAACAGAGGAGGATGTGTAGCAGATATCCAGGAGAGAGAGGTTGCCCAGGAAGAAGTACATGGGGGTGTGGAGACGGGAATCAAAGATGCATGCTATGATCAGAACACCATTGCCAATCAGAATCACTACATACATAACTAGAATTAAAGCAAAGAAAATGATCTCAAGTCTCGGGTACCCAGAGAGTCCCAGAAGAATGAATTCTTTCACAAATGTTTTGTTTATTATTATATCCATGTTTAGTTTTGAGATATCAAAAGTAGACCTAACAAAATATTTTCACTGCCAAACAACAAATGTAACAGACTTCTTGAATAAGCATTACTCTAGGTTGATATAGAGTGTTTTCTTTGATTTCTGTCATCTGCTTCTAACATAAGTTGTCTTCCACAGTTTGTGCCTAGAATACAATGATAATGGGATGTTGAGATTTTTTGTGTCCTGGTGCCTAATGTGTTCAGATCTTCCTAGGATCAGAAGCAAATTCAGAAGCAAACTCTCCTCCTATTGATGACATCCTAAGTTTAGTTTTCTAAAAGACCTTAGCTTAATTAGACAACAAACCCGATTTCTTCATTTAGCCAGGTCCAGTGGAAGAGTGGTGGGGAAGACAAAAGACAACTCAGCAAGGACAAAAATGTTGATTTGCTGTTGAATAGAAATTTTCAGAAAGGTAAAGCCAGTTTGATTTTTATGAATATTTGTTTACTTGGCATTCTGTGTATCCTTTTAGTCCATTAAACTGTGTGTTTATATAGGGCTGATATTTGATGATAGTACATTGAACCACATACACTACAATTTAACATCAGCTCAAAGCTCAAGTTAATTGTGGATCTCATAGTTACAGCCCACTCTGATGCTTTTGTTAGTCCCTATTAGAAGGCCAGTGTGAGCCCTGGCTGGCATAGCTCAGTGAATTGAGTGCAGGCTGCGAACCAAAGCATTGCAGATTCGATTCCCAGTCAGGGCATATGCCTGGGTTGCAGGCCATGGCCCCCAGCAACCACACATTGATGTTTCTCTCTCTCTCTTTCTCCCTCCCTCCCCTCTCTAAAAATAAATAAATAAATAAATAAATAAATAAATAAATTTAAAAAATTTAAAATTCAGTATTCTATCAGAAGGCCAATGTGTAGACCAACTACACATGTATACGATGGAGATGTATGAAGACCAATAGTCATTCTTCATTTGTTTTATTCTGTGACTTCAGATTTACTTGCAGCTTATTTTAGTGAGCCTGAGAAAACACTATTAATGGTTAAGTATATTTGTGTGGGTAGCACTATACACTTTACAAAAATATTGTTCTTCTCATTATTTCTATTTTTTTCAAATGTTGAAGACAGACGGGCCAAAGTTATCTAGCCTATCAGTGAAAAGTAGAGCTCAACTCAGATCTTTGCCAATGAATTCTAGAGCTCTTTGGGCCATGAAATGAAAAGTTATACTGTTTTCTCACCAACCACTACACAGAATTTTGGGGCTGGGTGGAATAATACAAATCAACTATTTCAGTCTATCAAACTTTCCACATGTATATAAATTACCTGGGAATCTTGTTAAAAAGCAGATTCTCTTTAAGTGGGTTGGGGCAGAGCCTGTGATTCTAGATTTCTAATAAGCTCCCAGGTTATGCTGAAGCAGCTGGTATAGGGCCAGATTGTCAGTCCTGAGTGGGCACACTATCCAGATGTTTCCAAAGGATGTTCTTTTGTTTTACTACATAGACTACCTTAACAACCTAGAAAGTGACTAAAAACATACTTCTTTCATGTTTTCCAGTGAAATCCATGGCTGCTCAGTACAATTCAGAAAAATAATAATATTAAAAGATAAACTATAGAAAAGCAAAATAAACTTTTGCTGGACTACTATAATATATATAGGATATTGCTGAGAGCCTAACTTGAAGTAAGGAAAGCTAAGTAAGGAAAATAAAAATATAATACAACATGTCTGTCATCAAAAAGTGTACAATTCAGCAAGGAAAACAGCAAAACTATACATGAAATAATTTGATGTAGAATATATTTATACCGTTTGACCAGAGTGAATATTATAAGTATTTCCAGAAGGAGGAGGTTAATAAGAAATAAACAAGTCAAGAGAGAGTTCTGGAAGAATCTCTTTGTAGGCTGGATCTGCAAGCATGGAAAGGATGAGGCAGGTTTGGAAGAGAAGAGGAGCAGAAGGATATCCCAGCAGGGAAAACAGGTTGAGCAAAGTTTAAGAGGAAGCATATTACAGTATGGCAGTACCTCCTTTCAGACAAGAGTTTCTGCGAAGAAGTGATGTGAAGTACACTTGAAAAGGTAAATGAAGCAGGTGTGTATATAAAGGTCCAAAAGTCAGGCAGACAATTTTGATACTTCTTTTTGTGGGAAAGCAGCCCCATTATTAAATGCACCAAGTCCAAGGTGAGCTTTTAGACCCTGTTATCTTTAGCTACCCTTCATAACTGGCATTATACACTTTGATTTTAAGAGGTTTTTGAGCAGATACCTGACACAGAAATTAAAATATTTAGATTAATTAGATTATCATTAATTACTGACTGGTACACTAAAAAAATCATCTTTTCATAATTGCCAAGTTTTCAAGTTAACCAAAACTGTAAGTTTAGGGTTCACATAGGCTAACGGTTCTGGGAAAGACAGCACAAGCTCACTACACCACTCTAACAGTTTGATCTGTGATGATAGGTGAAAAGACTTCTCTACAGTGTATAATGTCTTAGAGTCAGAAGCCAAACTCAACAGAGGGATTCTCACTTCAGAAACAATTCAATTGAAGAATACAAAGGAGACTATCAACTGGGATGAGAGATGCCGATGAGAGAATATTGAATCTCCAAATTAGAGATGAGGAAATGGAGCCTCAAAACAATTTTTAGGGTATATTTATTCAAGTAAGGGCTAGAAGTATGTCTAAGTGAAATAAGCCAGGCAGTGAAAGACAAATACCATATGATCTCACCTTTAACAGGAACCTAAACAACAAAACAAACAAACAAGCAAAATATAGCCAAAGACACTGAAACAGAGAACAGGCTGACAGAGACCAGAGGGAAGAGGGAATTTCAGGGAAATTTCAGGGGAGAATGGGAAGGGTTTACAGGAACAAATATAAGGGACATATGGACAAAAACTAGGGGGAGGGTGGTAATGGGAGGGAGGTGGGGAAGGAGGGGTGGGTGGGCTGGGATGGGAATAAAGGACAGAAAACTGTACTTGAACAATGATTAAAATAAAATTAGAAAAAAACTTTTAATTTATTTAAATAAAAAACCTACCATTTATGCAAACAACTTCTATTGCAGGATCTTATGTGCTAGATACTGTGTTAAAAATCAGTTCACTTGGTTGAAGTCACATGGCTAATAATGGGCAGGACAAAACTCAATGCCCATTCTCTTTCCAGTACTTCTGTGCACAACAGGTTGCTACCTGTATAAACAGGTATAGAAAATATAAACTCTATAGAAAATATGTGTCAGCAACAGAAGATGGTCAGTGAGACTACAGGTGCATCAAAGTCATAAAGGAGAAACTTAATAAATAAGGGACAAGGAGAATGGTTAAGTTTTAGTTAAGAATTTACTACTTCTTATCATTATGGAAGGTTCAGGGCTATGAGATTAAATTGCATGTGCCAGAACACTTCATTTTCTGTGAAGTGATTCTACATTCACTCTACACTCCTTCTTAGGATAAATCAAAGTTCCCCACAAGTTGGGTACAGAAATTGGTCAAGGGATGCCTTAGATAAGGGACAGGAGCATTCTGATCAGCCCAGGCACTAATGCAAAAGAAAACAGCAAACAGTGACTTACCAAGAAACATGGTGATGTTCCAGATCCAGTCCCTTTGGGGTCCAGGCCTGGAGAGCCTGTTGGCTTCTACTTCCAGAAACATGTAATGACAATGTATCTTAGGCCACTTAAACCACTCTTCTTGTCACCTGCTCCAAGCCTTCCCCCGCTAGGCAGAAATTCCCTCACTGATTCAAACTCACCTTGAACCAGTCCTGTCTTGCTGCCTTTTTTCTTCTTCTTTCAGAGATTTAAATTGGTTACTTCATACATCATAAGATAATGAGAGATGTGAGGACAGGAGCTTGTCTGTCTTGCTCGCCCTTCTACACCTGGAGCCTAACAAAGTGGCTGCACATCTTGGGTTTGGACTGAATTAGTGAGTGTTTACACTCTAGATTCTTAAGCACTTTCCCTGTGCCCAATTGTGGATTCATATCCAAGAAAAGTTTAGTATGCCCAGATGATTCATTTGCAACAGGCTCTGATTTTTTAAAAAGTATCTTTCAGTACTAACAAAATGCCATCTTATATAGACAATGCAAGTACAGAAGATCACCTAGTACTCACTTGAATGGATATAGCACGGGGTGAGCCTAGTGAAAAAGTACTTGGGACTTAGAAGCAAAAGTTCTGGGTTTAAGGTTCTTTTCTTTTAATATATAGTCTCAGTTTTCTTATTTGTGAAATCATGATCAAAATACCTGCCTTGCTTTTCTCCCAGGTTTGTTTTGAGAAAAATTCAGTAGCATATGGAAACTGCTTTATAAATTAATGGGCATTATATAGAAATAGCAACCACAGCTATTTGGTAATAATAATAAATTTGTAGCCATATCTCCCCATTCCGTACTGTTCACATTTTAAATCTATATTTAATAATAGCTTGTGTGGAATGAAAAGACATAGTTTTGTAGTACTGAAGACTTACCTTCCTACTGATAAATTATTTCCACCTCCTAGAAGAACCAGTTACTTTCTTCATAGTATTTATGTCAGCATTCTGAATTAAGATCAGATTTAACAAATAAAGCTAGATTCCACAGATGTGGAAGAATAAATATTTGCAACAGTTGTAATTGTTCCCCAACTCCCAAAGCAATTTAAGTTGCAGTGAGAGATCTGTGGAATGGAGAAACTTCTCATGTGTAAGGAACAGTGTCCCACAGACCCAATTAAGATTGGTGTTGGGAATATATTGTGACTGAACTAAAGCTCAAAAATGAAATGACATTCTCATACCCATGTAACTTTTGAAAACAGAGGCAAACATTTACCAAATTAACTTTATAAAATGTGAGAGCTTTTTAATTCAAAATATGTTTACCAAAGCAAAGTTAATTCAAAGTAAGATCTTATTCAAATGATAAGTACTAAAGTGAACTGCTGGAACTTAAAAATGATCTAGATATTACAAATTAAACAGTAATTGGTTATAAATTAAATGCCTTGTCATTTAACTCTTTTGCTTATTTTATCTTCATTTAAAAAAAAGGTTAATGTCA